AATTTAAAAATATATATAAAGAGATTTCTTAATTAGATTTCTTAGCCTTTATGAGAATGAACAATTGATGCAATAATGTAGATAGAAACCACTTTTTGAAAACGTGTCAGTATTAGTACCTCATGGGTGACGTAGAAATCTATTGAAATATTTCCACTTAATAAATTTTAAAAAATTATTTTATAATTTTAATTTAATAATAGGAGAGAACTACTCATAGAACCTAATCAGATAGTGCCGCTCCTAACGCTCGGCGGCGCTGGCCGTAGCGGCTGCGACGCGCGCGGTAAGGAGAGGAAAGGAGGCGTATACCACGGAAATCGGCTGAAATGTTCAGACTAATTCCGAGCACTGATATAGAGTGACGTGTCAAATAATATATTAAAACTTTAAAAATCAAGTACAGACACAACACAACATAAACTCTTGTTATGCACAGAATTATTACATATGTATCAGTTTATGTTACAAATCACATAATAATATAAATTGCCATTATTTAATTAAATTTATGATGTAAATTGTTCTAGCACCTGCTTTGATACGTATGCTGCATTATATGACGACTATGGAATATGATATATTTAAAGAAGGTGTAGCTCACTTTTTATCAGCAACGTAAGTAATTGATATTATGAAAGTATAATGTTACGTTCTACGCACTCCACACTCTTTCTTTCCGCGATATTATTAGCTCTTTTCCCTTTTTCTTCTTTTAATAATTTTCTTGTATAACAATATCGCGGGAAGAAAGAGTGTGGAGTACGTAGGACGTAACAATAAAGCTGCACACCATTTCAAATATAGATAAACAAATCTCACATATTTAACTCATAAAAAGTTTCTGGCATAGTTTTTATTTTAATATTCCTTTTTTATTATTTCTATTTTATTATTGTTTTCTTTATTTCCCAATTATTTTACTGTATCATATTTTTTCTTCCAATAAACTATTTCTATCTTTCTTATATATCGTTGTACTCAAAGTATACTTTTACCTAGATAGCACAACATATCTAAAAGACGTCCAGAGGATTTTTTTGGGATTACAAGACGTCCTCTGGATATCCTTTGGATATATTTTGGACATATGAGCTGTCTGGGCATAAAGACTTTTATCGAAGTCATACGTAAAACTAATATTGGAAAAATTATTTGTCTTTTGCGCCATTGTTGTTTTTGAAGTGATCAATTTTTTTATTATTATTTTCTTATTATTATATTGCTAATAATTCTTTTCATATTTAGTTATAATCATCAGTCGACAATTGACGACTTTTGGAAGTTGATTCAACATGCTGATGATAAGCATCTGGATACAAAGTTTAAGAATAAAACTATGAAAATGGTGATGGATACTTGGACAGAGAACAATTATCCAATACTAAAGGTGCGCACACGTACAGATACTCAAAGTCTGGTTGTAAGAGTATCACAAACAAATAGTGATATATTTAATGAACACAAATGGTGGATACTTGTTACCTGGTTTACGGATCATTTATTAACTTATTCTAATCGTATTATACCTGCACTCAGCAAGTGGTTACGCCCAGATGGAAAAAAATTGACTTTAACTACTTTAGAAAGCGAGAGCGGTTGGATCATCGTCAATACGAAACGATGTGGTAAATATGTAGATTAAGTTGTTATATACATTTTTATTATTTTGTATAATTTAACTTTTATTTAATTTTTTTTTTAATTTTACTTTAATTTAATTCTTTTATCTGTACTTTACCTATACTTTTCCTATAATTTCTTTTATTTGTTATGTAAACATATTATTATTCAATAAGACATAAATTGTCTTATACTACTGAATCTAAGATAGATGTTAGTTTATCGTTTATACGTATAAAAGAAGTTAGATTTATGACAACAATTTCTTGTGCAGTATATTTTTTAGAAATGTTGTTTAAAGAAGTAATTTTTTAAAATTTATAATTTATTTTATGTATTTCTTTTATAAAATTGTTAATTTTTTCTACACCTACAATATATTTTAAAAATTAAAAAAAATAATTAATTAAAAATATTTTTTAATTATAAGATAAAATATTAAAAAATAATAAAATTTCTATTTTGGAATAGGATATTATCGCGTTCTCTATGATGTAGAAAATTGGCGAAGAATTGGATGGTTTCTGGAGACAAATGGCTCGCGTATTCATGTTCTCAATCGCGCTCAATTAATCGATGACGCGTTTTACTCCCTGCTAAAAAAGAAACTCGATTTAATCTATTTCTTGGACCTAACAAAATTTCTTGCGCGAGATGTGGATTATGTAGCATGGTATCCTATGTTTAAAGCTTTGGAACACATGTCGCGTATTTTTGCATTTTATAGCCAAAAAATCTGGCATCTTAAGGTATGAGAAGTATTAACAGATTTGGTCATATTCATTTCGACAACATAAAGTACCATATTATGTCTCGTTGCATGTGTAACATAGATATTAAAACTTAAACTAAACAAAGTTGTAATTTATGATATAGCTTCTGAGGAGAAATAATAATATTGAATTTATATAAATATTTTACACAAGCTGATATAAAATTTGTATTATTTAACAATTTTAAGACACGCTTGCTGAACCTCTTAGAATCAGTTCTTAATAAAATAGGATACGAAGCACAACCGAATGAGGACAAACTTACCGAATGTTTAAGAGAAGAAGCAGCAAAGTGGGCATGTTTATTTGGTAGTACTGATTGCAGAGAAAAAGCAAGTGTTTTATTAGATTGGCATCTCCAAAATCGAGAGAAGAATAAGTAATTTTTGTTATAATTATATTTATTTTCTAATCTGATTTTCTTTGTGTCTTGCGCAATAAATAACTGGATTTTCAAAACGGTAAACTAAATCTTCGGACTCGTTCTATAGACGTTTTGATCTTTTTTCGAATGCTGTAGACTTTCACCAGGATGGAGGAAATGGACGTACTGCGAAGGTATAGCAATGGGAGATAGTTTTATGTGGCGTAGTGCGGCCCGCGCATGGGACGAAGAACGTGATGATGCATTGTTAGAGTACTTAATGTGCACTAATGATTTTACTACCGCCATCAATTCTTTCGGAACATTAAAAAACACAGAATTAATTAAGCACGCACAATTCAGGGATGACGTCATTTATTATATGTATTTTCTTGCTAAGTATGCGAATCACACAATTATAATCGATGATATACTCGAGGAAATTTTAACAGAGAGAAGACCTAGGTAATTATGTTTTTTAAATTAATGTTTAAATATTGTTTGCATAATTATTTTTTATACATAACAGTTACAAAAAATGTCATTTGTTAGACGTGCTAATTATAAATTGCATCAATTTTAATTTTGCAGTGCAGTAACTGAGATTGCTGGATTAATTATTGTTATTAATAATATATATACCACGGATAAACTTGACAAGGTAAATCTTACAAGTTAACTATTTTAGTGTGGTGTACGTTCTTTGTTATTAAGTACTTTTATTATTTTATCGTTGAAGGCGACACACATGCACGCGTTCGCCCTCTCACACACACAATTATGTGACGTCAATTATTTTGACACGAAAATGAATTGATTTTTGACGGTAAACACAAAAATTATTTATTTTAGGTCGAGCATTATGTAAAAGAAAGAGAGAATCTACGCTCTATGATTTTATCTAAGATTGCAGAACGCAAAAATCAATTCTCTAAGGTGGACATTTATGCACACGTTATTACACAACCAATTACAGATATTTACATGAATGATGATTAATCAATCAAATCGATAAAACTTGACAACTGCAATGCATGTATTGTATATATTTATTCGCTTATGTATTACAATTCGATTTTAATGTGGAAATTTTGAATTTTATGATGTTATTTAATTTAAGTTTATCACGCATACAACATAGCTGCTTAAAAGCGCGCATGTACTTGTGTATAATTTTTGAAGCGTTATCAATTCTATAACAATGTTACAAATGTTCGAATTTATAACACTGTTGAAGAAAAGAACAGAAATAAACGTAAGGGGAGAAATGAAAGATACAGAGAAATAGAAAAAGCCTTTCTAAAATATATTATCTTTTTATTCGAATAGCAATTACAACACTTTAACTGCCATTTTTCTTTACTAAATTACATCAGTGGTATTTATACTTCAGTTATACTTTAGTTTTCTAGTTATAAAAGTTTGTTCAAAAACGATCTTTTCGACTAGTTACGCTTTTTGTCCCATCAATAAATCGTTTAGCATTTATAAGTTCTTGCAAAACGAGAATCTGTAAAATCTGAACGCAAACAGCACAAACGGTACTATCGTTGGAAGTACACGTAAGCATCGACCAACTCGTCACAATGGGCATACTATTTTATGTGATAACTGGCAATGGGTAGGCACGTATGCATTGATAAACATGCAATGCACGTTGCATTATTTATCAAATTCATCTAGAGAATCATCAAATCCTAATTAAACTCTTCACGCCCTACAAACATAAAACATGATATCTTTGGTCTAAAAAAATAAACAAGTATATTACAAAAATATTCAAGCTTACCTACGAAATTATCTTTGTTGCAAAGAAAAGATTCATTGTTTTCAAATGCTCGATGTAAAGATAATCATCATATATCTCGTACATATACTCTTTATTCAATGTTAATAAATAAACGCTAAATTTTATTTGAACAATAGCAAAATAGTAGAACAAACATCAATTGTGAAATTTAAAACAATTACACAAAAAATATAAAAATTATCGCTCCTTCTACATTTTCTATTGAATATTATAGCTATTAAAATGGAAATTTATACACAAGCTTTTCTTAAAATTTTTTCTTATACTTATGATTATATTAATTCTCTTATACCAACATACGTCAATAAATTATTTTTACAAGTTTATTTCGATAAGAAAATGTACTTCATAATTTTATTCGTTATTATAACATGGTAGTCCATAAACGTTGCACAAATCAAGTATTCTTACATATGTGATGTATACATTTCGATTCTACACTTAGAACACGATCTATAAAATATTGTTTTTCTACTTTGCTTTAAAAGTTTTTATGAACTCAATATTTCGAATGTATAAAGGATTTTGGATTCGGCATGAATCATACTTTGCACACAATTAATCAATTTGTTTTAACATTACCCTTTTCATTCATCATTCATTTCATAATGATCTAAAAAAAAAAGTTAACACAAGAATGTTCGATAACTATTCCATTGTACGTTTCAACCTGATTATAATAGTCGCAGTTTAGTCACAATTTACAATAGATTCAAATAATGAGATCCGACTCAATGAAGAAATAAACAGTGCAAAGAATATACATTGCGCAAGAAAAAACTACTGAATTTATGTCTTCCAAAACTTACCACTGACTTTGATACATTTGACCTTCTGTAACTTCTTTTTTTCTGATAGTACCGGCATGGCTTCTCTACCCGATTCGCTTCCTCCTGCGACAGAACTACCACCAGCTACATCAGCCTCTTGAATACCTGAGACTCCTGGTTGAGATGCAAGAGATTTCTTTATATTAGAAATCTAGAAAACCAGAGAAAATTCATAATTATTTTTCTACAACAAGATACAGAGTGGATAAATAAAAAGAGGAAGATAAAAAACTCACATCTCTTTGTATTCTTTCTTTATGATAAGTAGCTTTTTGTTTCTCGACATTAGCTCTAGATATTTGCTGTTCGATACAGGATAAAACTGTATCACATGCTTGACCCCAAGCAGCTAACGTCTCAGCTACAACACCCATATCACCTGGTCGTACATCACGTCCTAAACCAGCATAATCCACTTCTAACTGTGAATTTTTTTGATCTAATTTTCCATGTATTATGTCTGCGTATATTGCTTCAATAATCAAATCCTCTAAATCTCTGACATTCTTTATATCTAACTCTTCCAACAATACTGAGTAAGGTATACATTTGTTTTTTGTAGCAAGAGTGACAATGGTAAGATGTTGAAGCTTCTTCTTTTGCGTAGGAGTTAACTCTAATACTTTCTCCTTATTTTCTAAGTAATCTCTATAGGTGCCATATGCAAATAAATTCAGAGTATTCCAATATTGGACATAAGGTCCATTTTCCAACTCTTTGATATTTGGCATATCCAACAATTCACCAAAGACATGAACACCAGGCGTTTCAACAACTTGTCTTATAAGTTCTATAGCAGCAGCACCTTTTGCAGTTTTTGCAAGTAATACAAACTGCTCCAAAGGATTATTGGCTGATTTTTCAGTGGTGTTTCCACCAGTCATGATGACTCCTAATAAATAAATTTATGAATACAAATATTTCATGCATAAATAACAATATACTACAAAATATGCATCAAAATAAATGGTTAATGATACCAAATAAGGATACAATTATGACAGATTATTCCTAAAAACTAAAAACTCTCTTATTCTTAGTTATAGAACGTAGTAAACAAAATGCTCGTATAATGTTCAACTAAAAGAAAAGTTAGAAACAAGCTCATGCTATTTGTTTCGTTACATGCAGTGACAATTATATGGCATATAACGTTGCAAGATGTAGTTGAAATTGAAAGTATAACATAAAAATGTATAATATAACATAAAAGGGCTCACTCCTTTGTTATTAGCCGTGCTGTTACAAATATCAGATCTGAGATCGCAATTTCTCCTCGTTTTAATACTCTATCACACACTGCAGCCAGGTATGCAAACATAATATAAAAAGATCAAATATTTCTATTTCATAAATGTGCTACTGTTGCCAATCAGAAAATCCAAGTTCACTAGGTTTCCGACCAATACGATTGGTCAATTCCTTATACACATGCATTATGTGATTATCCACATCTAGATAAATTCGAAGGGATAAATTCAAGATTACACCTTTTTTGACGAGTTTTGGAACACGTCAAAATCATAACGTATTATAATTAAAAAAATATTTACATTTATATATTATCATTACTGTGAAATAATTTACATTTTATATGTATATATCTGCAATTTTTTTTTAAATAAATAAAAATAGATGCTCTTATCTTCACAGTAAAATTGCATTCAGAAAACAATTTAACTTGTCATATCATATATCATATTATAATTTTATTGTATTGTATTTAATATTATATATCCTGTATTATGTATTACAGTTCTTTTTTAAAATGTGAGTTTGCGTTCATATCAAACAATCGATGTTTGCAAAAATAAACTCATCGACTTGTGATTAATTGTATATAGATACAGCTGAAGTGACAGGCAAGGACTGAATGGAAGTGCGTGAGCTATTCATATCAAAGTGAGCAAAGCTATTGACACGTACGCATGTATGTATGCATATTATAAAATTTTGAGTGTACATATGATGTGCATACCCGAAATCGCTTGAAATTTCGAAAACAACATTTAAGACGCAGGTCGTGATAATCGATGTCTCGAGGAAGTACAAGATTCGATTCCCCGATATGCCGCTAGTCCGTAGCAGTTGACAGACACAGGTAGCCGCTCACTGATGGTGCTTCGAAAGATCATCGTTCTGTCGATTTAGCTGTTTCGCGAGATCGCAAAATGTTGGCTCACTGTGATATTTTTGACTTCAAAGTACTTATATTCGTGTGTTTGCTGGTAAGTGAACTGAAGCATTTGCCACGTCATTTCATTTTTCACGTTACACCTGCGAATTGGATGGTATCAATATTTCACGGTTCCTTGTGACATGTATCATAAGACATCCTTGTAACTCGCAATTATTTTCTCCTTTTAATTTTTATTAATATTTATTTGAAGGTCTTGTTATCGGTATTCCTCTCAATCCTTTTTACACAGCATAACCTATACCATTATGTCATAGCAACTTTACATTTGAAAACATGATTTAAGAAGAAATATTAGAAGAGTATGCAATGATAAAGTCATGCCTTGTATGCTCTGTTGCTAAATGTTGCCAAATCAAAAAATGTTTTGCATACTTATGTGTCTTACTTATATACATGCTTATGTCAAATAAAACAATAACTATTCACGTGATTAGTTATCCCTATAATATTTACCACATTATTATTCATGCTTAATGATTAGAGTAAACATCCATTATTCAGGATAAAATTCATATTGTATATCAATGTTTATATTGTTTAATATGCAATATAAGCAATGGATTTTCTGAGATAAAGAATATACATACAACTACAAAAACCATAGTACACTTCATATAAATTAGATTGTAATCTAAAGCAATAGAATACATGATATGTAATTAGTATCATGTGTTTCTAGATATATTTGCCAAACAGTATAGCGGGAGAAATAGGAGAGGGAGCAGTTTCACTTACACAAAAGAATATTGATAAAACATTAGGTAAATATATGTGTAATAGACAATATGTATCAAGCAGCATTGCCAGACAGATAAGCTATATTTATTTTCTTTTTAAACTATGTATCTTTTGCAGCCGAGAATGAATTGGTATTTATAAACTTCTACGCACAATGGTGTCGCTTCAGCAATTTATTAGCCCCAATTTTTGATACAGCTGCAGATAAGATTAAGGAAGAATTTCCCCAGGCAGGGAAGGTAGTAATGGGCAAAGTAGATTGTGATCAAGAAAGTGAGTATACCTAAAATATATTCAGCAAGGCCTATAACTTTATTGAAATGCATTGAAATCTTATATTTTAAAGAAAGAAATGGTCTAGAATTCTAGAATATAGGATTTTAACGCATCGTAGTAAAGTTCCAGGCCCACCAAATGATATAATATAAGATTCTAAGGCATAAAATGTACATTAATGTTAAAATGTTCTAAAGTTCTATTATAACATTTGTTAGGTTAGAATTTTAGTATAGTTTAACATCAATGTATATTTTATTCATCTTTATGCCTTAGAATCATATATCATATTATTTGGTAAGCCTAGAACTTTATTACGATGCATTGAAATCTTATATTTTAGAATTCTAAACCATTTTTTTGTTTAAAATATAAGATTTCAATATATTGTAATAAAGAAAATATACATTCTAAAGTTCTAATCTATTAAATGTCATGATAAAAGATTCTAAAGCACAAAAATGAATAAAATGTACATTTTATTTACTTTTATGCCTTAGAATCTTTGATATCATAACATTTGGTAGGCCTTGAAATCTTATATTTTAAAGAAAGAAATAGCTTAGAATGTTAAAATGTACATTCTATACATTTTTATATGTAGTCTTTTTTAAGAGAGTGGATATTTAATAATTTAAGTTATTATATTAATAAGAGACGTTATATGTTTCAGCATCTGTAGCATCTAGGTTTCACATAAGTAAATACCCAACATTAAAAGTGATAAGAAATGGACAACCAACTAAAAGAGAATACAGAGGACAACGATCAGTGGAAGCATTCCAGGAATTTATCAGAAAGCAATTGGAAGATCCTATTAGAGAATTCTTCGATTTGAGAGAGATTAATGAACTTGATGATAAAAAGCGTATGATTATAGGATACTTTGATAGAAAAGATATACCAGAATATGAACTATTCAGAAAAGTTGCTACTAATTTGAAGGATGATTGTCAGTTCCATGTTGGATTTGGGTGAGATATCTTTTACTTTTGATATTCTAAATTAAAATCCTACAAAATTTGTTTATGATACAAATGGTTATATTTAAAAAGAATTAGTATAAAGGTAAAGGTTCTCTCTCTCTCTTTCTCTCTCCTTATTACCGATGTAAAAGAGTTTTACATATAATATTTAGTAATAATTATTGTAATTTTATTTAACAAGCACATGCTCCAATCAAAACTGCGAAATTGGACAGCATTTTCATTTGCTGTAAGTAAAGTGGTATATGTAAGCGTATAGGCTTTTGCTGTATTTAAGTATCTACGCTATACTACTAAACTACTGTTTTGATCTGATTTGATGTTTTATTTGTTATTTTGCATAATGTTATATATTATGAGATATTTGATATAAATTTTTATAGATGAGTTTTTATATATATTAGATATGATATGTTTTTTAACAATATTTGAATTTTAAGAATTTTTATTTTACATTCTTTCATCGAATGTAAGTTAAACGATTAAATTCTTTTATTGATTTTGGAATAATATGTCTAGGAATGCAAGTAAAGCGCTGCATCCTCCAGGAGAGCCTATCATTGTCTTCCGATCGGATAAAGCTCTGTCCAATGATGAGGATGAAACTTACAAAGGAAGTTTAACCAATTATGATGAATTAAATGTATGGACGCAGGAGAAATGTGTGCCACTTGTAAGAGAAATAACATTCGAAAATGCTGAAGAATTAACAGAGGAAGGCCTGCCATTCCTTATACTATTCCATGCTCCCGATGACGTAGAAAATGTCAAGCTGTACAAAGATATCGTAACTAGGACATTAATAAGCGAGAAACGTATGTCATATCATACTATTTATTTATTTTATTATCATTTCTTACTTTTTCGAGATTTTTATTATACTAAATTTTTTTTTTCAGAAAACGTCAATTTCTTAACAGCTGACGGTTTGAAGTTTGCGCATCCGCTACATCATTTAGGAAAAAGTACATCAGATCTACCGTTGATTGCAATAGATAGTTTTAGACACATGTATTTGTTCAAGGATTTCAATGACATTTTTATTGAAGGAAAGCTTAAAGCTTTCTTGGCCGATTTATATTCTGGAAAGCTTCATCGTGAGTTTCATTATGGTCCTGATATCAATAACGATATACAACAAGACACTGGAAAACAGGTGAAAACACCTACAACGCCACCGGAATCTGCATTCAAGAAACTAGCGCCAAGCAAAAATAGATATACAATAGTTAAGGATGAACTGTAACGAGGTGAGATGGAGTGCAGTGCAATGCAATGAGATTTTCTTAATTAATTTGTATACAATTTACAAGTAAATTAAAAGAAGTGAATTACAATCGGGGATTTTTCAATATTCAATATAGACATATATTTTTTTCGTAGTGTGTTTGTAACGAGAGTCTTCTAAAACCTCGACGAATCCGTCTCTTTTTTACCGTGATTTGTCTCCTTATATTTTTGATACATAGTTCACATTTTATTTTATTATAAAATATCTTCTTTTATTTATTGAGAAGCATTATTTAAAATTTATTATTTATACAGTTTTCCAAGATATAAAAACAAACAGTTTATTCTTTAATTATAAAGTTTTACACGTACTGGTGTCAACAGGTATAACAGATTTTTGTACATTGCAAGCCAAACTTACAATTTAGCACCGTTCTTGTTGATTTCTACAACTTGGGTATAAATGTGAAATGTTTTTGTATGTTAAGAGATCTAATTTACATTATTTCCTCTTTTGTAACCCTTCTGTTACGTTAGAATTTAGCAATATTATTAGTATAATATGCGATCACATTCGTCGAGAAGCGTAAATGTGTATGAGAATATATATGATAGTAGTATATATAGTGCGAATATGCGTTGTGTGCGTGCGTATTATTGACTTTATTGTTTGAGACAATTGTTTCCGGTTGAAATGTTAAAGAGAGAGTACTTTGCCTATTGCATGATTGAAATAAATGTTTGAACAAGTGAAATCTTAGCATGCTCTCGTAAGATATTTCTAGGAAGCATTGTTTGTATGACGAATGATATTGATTTGCCTATTAATAAAGAATTTCTAAGTCATAAGTATGACTATGTTGATTATCATTATCAGCATTGCAACACTAGCGGTGTAGTTTATAATTGTAAATGCTCTTTCATTTACTGTCAAAGAAGATTACAGCAGCAGCATCAGTAACAAAGAAATTATCTATGTATTTGATAAGATATTCTTTTATACCAGGAAACGCATAAAACTAATTTTATTTGTAATTTTAATTGTAAGATTTGCATTTTTTTCATTTCAACTTTAATCTCTTTCATATGAATATTTATTTCAAAGTATAATCTTGTTCAATAAAACTTAGTAACTTTATTTACATTTATTTAATGTACCTCTTTCGCTGTTATTGTTAAATTGTAATATAATCTTAAAATATTTTTGGCAGGAAATAAATCAGAATAAATTATTAATTATTTGTATCCAATTCATGTTATTTAATTTCCAATTAAACATATTTGGAAGTATATTCTATCAATATAAACCTATCTATAATTTTTTTTTAATTAACATTTAATTAAAAATAAGAGCAATTATACCAAGAATTTTATAAAGTTAATAAAAATATGCCAAGTGGTTGCGCTAATAATTTTCCAAATTTTGCGATAAATATATTGAGAGATTATGCTTTATAATTAATTGTCGATTAAATTCCAGCAATTTATTTATTTAAAATAGGAAATGAGATGATAAAACAATTATATTTGGCATTTTCCTTATAATTCAAGAATAGTATAAATAATTCATTTTTAATACACCAGCTATGACGATAGATAAATTTATATTTGTATATAATATTACACACATGTGTATGTACAATTATTTATCTACAATTTATTCGTATATGTACATGCATACATATGATTCAGGAAAATGTACATTTTCTTGCATTGTATTATATTAGTTTTTACATACATAATATATAATTCAAATTTTTATAAATCTTAAATTACTCTTTGCCTAAAATGTACGCCAATTTACATTGGAAAACTTTTTTCATGTACAACAATACGCGAGTGATAAATTTCTCATTTAGTAATGTTCTCTATTTTATTATATTATCTTATGAACTATTGTGAGAGAAAATATAAATCATTTATGCATAAGAAATGGTTTAATATGAAAATACGAGAAACTGTGAACACCGGATGTAGCTATAACAAATAACTACATAATGCAAGAATGAATGGTAGAATGAATCGTCTATAACGTGTAGTATTTGTAAATTTTGCATACTGAATTCATATAATGAAATCGATCAAATGTAGTATTAAAAAATTGAGTGATTTTTACGACAGTTATGAAGCAGTTTTTCTTGACAAAGTACAGACGATATGTTTTATTATTATAAACGGGATATATCTAATGCTATATAAAATTAATACGGACTTCTTAAACCTCATCCAAGTTTCACATAGCATATTTAATGAAATTAAATCATAGTTTGAGAAAATAGATTTGCACTATCGTTACGTTATTACATATACTGATTGTGCATAGTAATTTTACGGAGAGCAATTCCTATAGTCTGCAGAAATTGTATTTGAAGAATGATTTTTATATTATAATATTTCGACATATTTCAAATATGTATGTGTGTGGGGGGGGGGTGTCTATATTTCATTTGAATTGTCAAGCGATGCATGAAAAGTGTGCGTTACGTAGGTTCACTTCTAATAATAAGTTTATATACACTGCTGCACAAAGAATAGGGAACACTTTTCAAACGCTTAAAATGAAAGAATTTTCAATCCACTGAAACTCGGCGAAAAATTATTGCAGACAAAAAATTAAAAAAAGAAAGCAAGCTTAAATTAAAGCTAGAAATTTTGCCGAATCTCAGCGATTCAAAAATTGCTCGATTTTGTGCGTCCGAAAAGTGTTCTCTATTTTTTGTGAAATAGTGTATTTACAAGTTGATATTTACAATAATTAGATGCAATATATGTATATCAATGTGAACAACAATGAACGCATGATGTCAAATTTTCTTAGAAAATTTACAGAACTGGATCTAACAAATGAAAATAGTTTTAAACTCTATTTAAATATATCTACTACGATATAACAGTTTTTGCTTTAGAACAATTCTTTTAACTTTTGGATCAAAAACTTTAATTAGATTCTTTTCAGATATTCTCAACAATAAACAATCTCTGTGCAATCTAAACATAAATTATATATATATATATATTAATAAAACTATATTACTAAAATTCAAATTGATGTTGTTTGATAAAAAGATAGAAGAAACAAATAGAATTGCATAATGTTAAACATCTGCTTTTTATTCGTGAAATATGCACGCGCAGCGAGCTTCACATTCATTAAAATCACAATTGCAGAGATAGTAGAGATGAAAGATAACGAGATGTATCATTTATAAACTATATAAATTCCTTTCATCGCACAATAATCTTGCACAGTTAAGTAAAGAAACAGCTTATATATATATCTATAAAGTTCACGCTTATCTTTCTCTTTAACGTGTAACATATCGCGCATTACAGTAACATGTTTTCGACACGCCACATATATGTACGATTTACGCATAGTAAATTTTATCTCTACTTCAGATTCACTATTCACTCGACTAATCCGACGATATATATAATTTGGAGTAAATACGCGGTATACCAAACAATTTAATTTCTTATGTCAATCACTTCTTCGCTATCGAACCCCGTGGCGAGTGGCGTTTGATAATTTTTCAAACAATTAACAAATATTCTGCCATCTTCTCGTTATATTGCGCTGACGTAAGTTCCAGTTGTATATACAGTACGCGATATAGAACAAATCAGACGATAACAGGGTTCTTGGAGATCGGTTTTAGAGTAACGGTTAATAAAGGTGATTCTCTCTCTATAGGCAATTCTATTTTCCGCTATAAGGAAACATCGCTTTGAGAGAGCGGTCCGTTGCCTATCCTCGCGTTACTGTTAAGCCGCTTTGCCGTTGTTGTGCTATTTTTTGATTCCTTGTTACTCGCGGACGCAATTACATCCGGTGACTCTTTATTATTTGTCACTACCGCAACGAATTCCTTCTCGTTGTCCCAAACGTTGGTTGTTTGGGTTGCCCGTGAGGTGCGCGTCACCGGTGGTTCTCCGTTCTTTTTCTGATCCTTTATTTCCAGTTCGTACCCTGAGAATAAAATTACTGAGCATGGAAAGTACCGTGTGCTTTGAACCAAAAAAAAAAAAAAATGCAAAAAGCGAAAGCAAAAATGCACGTTAAAACCAATAGAAAAAATATAAAAAAAGAGCTGAGTACTCGTGCTTTGTTTTTATAGCTTTTTTTTGTTATTACAAAACCATACATCGCATATAATACGTCGCATAAAATAAAGAAGTTTTATGAAAATTGAGTAGGCACTTGAAAGTTATATTGAGTCGGCTAGAAAGTTTCTTTGCATTTCTACCTTTCAATTTATCGAAGAATTCGAAGGAACTTTCCGATCAACCCAATACTTACATTCGCTCTGAGTGGAGCAGTCTATGGTGGACGCGATATGTTTCTTGATGGCTTTATTCTGATCGCAAGTTGCCGCTGTTAGGACCGTCGTCGCCGTGACTGGTCCCATCATACTCGAAGCGTTTGTGGCGGTTATCGCCGAACTTTTCGTCTGGTTAGGCCTGCCTGCCCTGACGGTCGGCCGCACGTTTCTCTCGGGCCGAATTAAAATAATATACAGCTGCGCATGTAAATAGATAACATATACTCCGTGAGAATCGCTGTTGCAGTAAAAGAAGAAATTGAGTTAGGTTCAAAAATTATTCCGCCCAATGATTCGATAACGTAATGCTCGATGCTACAGCAAGTTGAATCAAATAATTAATTCTTTCATATTTCAATTTTTCTTCTTTGCAGCAAAACAGAGTTCTAAACAGTTTTCTCATTAAACGCAATATTTGAAGAAATGTTGATATAAATTACGAAACGTATTAAGATTGCATTAATTTGAGCTTAAATAAATTTTTTTGTAGATTGCAACCACCGCGCAATCGAGATTCAAATACGGATCGTGATAATTTTGAGTGTTCGATCGTGTTCTCTCCGAATGCGAGCATTATGTTTCAAAGGGATTACGTTTCACCTTTGGAGTGAAGAGGCAAGCCACTGTCACTGACGCAGAAAGACTGATTGTTACCGACATTGAAGTAATTCTCAGCGCAACGTTGCTTCCGGTGCCGTAGTACAAAGGTACAAAAGCGCACCATATAACGCACGTCGTATACATCGTTAAACCTGCATTTAGACACATTATTGTTTTAATAAACCGCCGCTCTCTTTCTCTTTCTTTCTTTCTTTCTTTCTCTCTCTCTCTCTCTCTCATGCTTCACTAAGCACTCAATATTTCAATGTTTTCGTAATAATATATTATTATTCTATGCGAGTGTGAAATATTTAAAAAATATTTTCTCGTTATTGATTCTTTTCGCTTTTTTTTTAGTTACAAAAAAAAAAAAAAACAATCTCGATAAAATATAAACGATGCGGTGTGAAGAGCGAATATTAATGCAAAAGCTGAACTTACCGATGTGCTTGCTCTCGTTGAAGGCTTCCGGAATCTTTCTCGTGAGGATGGCGTAAATGGTGCACACGACGATTAATATTGTGGGATACGCAAACGCTATCATATAGCTAGCGTCAATGTAATTATTGCAGACGAGCAAGTTGTCTTCCATCGTAGGATAGTGGTGCATCGCCCGTGCAGGATCAATGATCATCCAAACTCCATTGATTAGAATTTGCACGAATACCAATCCGAAGCAGATAATCAGTTGCGATCGCGGTGATATAAAGGACGGTCTCTTCGCGCTCCCGGCGTTGAAGATTCTTGAGATCCGATTGGTCTTCGTCAGTAAAGCCGCGTATACTACAGTGAAGCAGAAACCGGCGGAGAATCTATTACAAATGGATTATAAACTTTGCGTTAGAAGGTAAGGAGAAAAAATGCGTAGACTGATTAGAATTTGTGAGTTGCGGCGAAACTGTTATTCTCAGTCGAGCGTGCGTTAATCGCACGCGAGGGATGTCATTTGTCTAGTAACACGCGTACAAACAGACACATAGACCGTAGGAGCGAGAAGATTAACGCTATCATATCGAAAACTTTATAGAATGTACACGAAAAGAATCATAGTCTTCTTTTTTTTTTTTTACCTTTGGATACCGCAGACAATGTCCGTGGGTTTGAGCACCAGGGTAAATGTGACGAGATAGCAGAGCAAAATTCCCGAGAGGAGAACGTAAGATAGTTCCCGCCCGGATGCACGTACGACAGGCGTGTCGTTGTGTTTGAGGAACACGATGCAGACAGACAACGTCACCTATGTGCGCATAAAGTACACGTGAAGCATGTATTATAAATTAACGGCGCGAAACACGTCGTGCGATAATTATTGCAATTCAAGGTATATTATATGCCAAAAGTTTCCATCGCTCTTATATAGATAGATCGCTTGAAAAACGGAGACTTCTCTTTTATCGCTCCATCTTTCATCCATCCTTTGCCTGAAAGCTGATAGATAATATCGGAAAGCATTGGATTGATCAGAAAATTCCTACGGATTTTTCAACGAAAATGAAAAATGAAAATCCAAAGGAACTTTTCGATCAATCTAATATTTTTGGCCAAAAATGTCGTATAATTTATAAGATATTACTGAAAGAAAATTGTCTTAAAAGGATAGAAACTTTTGCATATTTTTGACGATCGTAATATTTTTCTTTTTTTTTTCGACAGCCGAAAGTCGTAAAAAAAAGTGCCTACCATAATTCCAAACGCGGAGAAAAGCATCGCGCCTATTGCCCAGCTGCTGAACGGGTGCAAAAATTCTTCTGGAATATCCCGGCAAGCGGAATGAGTTTCGTCGGGCAATGTGCCTCGACGACACTGAGTACACTGTGTCTCGTCTAGAGTATGCCGTATCTGTTTGGGAAAGATGTCGGAGCGCAGAATATAAAATTGTTGAGTATTCCCTTATAATTCCCTTTGATAATTTAATCTTTATGTGTATGTATAACTTATAAATAATTTAATTGACGTAGAAATTAAGTTCTTAATTACAATAATTATGTCTGCGTCCTCGTGTTTTCTTTTTTTCTCCGGGAAAAGCGTTATTATTCATAGAATTGTAAGGCTTGAACGTATGCATTGAAAATAATTATAAAAAGATAGAAACAACAAACAAAATCGTTCAAAATCGCTATAAAAAAAAAAGGATAACATAAATATTGTTTATTTATCTCCATTTGACACATGTCTCGTTTTTCCAACGGGAAAATTCCGCCGGACGAAACCAACATGCGATATTTCTGGAAAAAACTGTTATTACCATTGTAATTTACCAAGCTAAATAAAAGTGTATGCAAAGGTAGATGTTTGTTCGCTCTAGACCCGAGGATTAATAATGGAGCGTATTGTTCGTGTGTGTTCTTTTTTTTTTTTTTTGATAAAAGAGACTGCAGATAAAATACTACACCGGGTCAAGCGGTTAATTATTTCAATGATACGTCACCCGACGCACCTGATATTGCGTGCAATTAAAGCAGTGCCAGCAGCACCTCTCACCCTCGACATATTTCTTCGCCTGGCCGAGCTCGCAAGGCAAAGAGCACACGCTTTCGGGTGACTGAGGATGCCCGAGCTTAAATTGGATTTCTAAAACAAATACATGCACGACGACGATGTAGAATATTATGAGGACGTACGGACAGCATTCATAAGCAGATCGAGACACGTCCGCGAGATAGGGACGCATCGAGGAGGATGAAAATAGAAGAGCTTACCGGTCATGTTCAGTCGCAGCTCGCCTTCCAGGTATTTACCGACGCGAATCCACTTGTATTTACCCGGCTCGGTTTGTTTGAAATGTATGATGTTGTACCGCGCGGGTCCGTCGCCGTTCTTGTCGAATCGAAACTTGTCTCCGCTTAGACCTTAAACGTAGTCGTTCGATCGCCTATGAGTATCATTGAAAACTTGATCGAAATGCGTAAGCAGCTAATCACGGTAATAGATAGTTTTCTCACTGCAGGATGTAATTTAATGCGTGGGAAACATTTCACGGATGAATTCGGCATTTCAATGAAACAAATGTACGCAAACTTACGTCGGAATTCGCCTTGTTTCGGAGTTACAGTCTTTCAAAGTTTCACACATTCTGACTTGAAAAGATGAAATATCTCGTAAAGCATGCGCTTTTCAACGATTTTATCTTAATATTTATTACACCGAAATCGAACGCGTGTTTGCACGAACTTATTTTATTGCTTCAAGTGCTAATCCCTAAAATATCACCCCCCCCTCTCCTCCCCCGAACATATTAAGTTATATTTTAAAAATTCATAATTATAGAAGTCTATAATAGATTTTTAATACTTCTTTCATTTAAATTTATTTATACAAAAGCATCCGAGGAATACGTATCGTATCGATTTATAGTTTACGTTTCCAACGAACAGAATTGACTTGCACTAGATAGATATAATCGCACCAGCAGGTATATTCGCACCTCGAAACCATTTCCAAGGAATCGCTTTGTCAGCTTACCCTCGAAGTTCACCTTGCGCAAATACTGCAAAAGCGTTGTTCCCTGAGTCGGTTTCATGGCATCGCACAAACCCTCTTTTCCACGGCACACAGTCGCGATGCATATCTCTGAAAGAAGGAAAGAGCAGCGCGTTTCTTCGTGACGAACGAAAGTTTTTGGGCTTAGAAAATTGAATTATCAAATCGGAGACAGTTAGATTCCAATTACCGGAAAGCGTAAGCGAACGCCATCACCGCATCGGAAACGAACTGCAGTTGATCCTCGAAAGCCGTATCCTCTTTGGTGAGACGCTCCTTCGTCGTGCAAGTTTTGTTGAATTTTTTGTTGTACGGTGTCCGTGACGAGTTTGGATATCGACATTCGAAGTGATGTTCCCAAAATTCTAAAATAAACGTGAGAATTCCTTTTTTTTCTTTATACAACGAGTAAGCGAGCGATTCGATTGATTTGGTGAGATCGACTTGGAAACAGCACGTGCTTACGTATCTTCAATTCTTCCGGCATCAACTACAATTGTCGACAATTATACAACGTTCACATATATACAGTATATCTAAAAAATAACTTGATTAAAAATTGTTCATTTTATTTAAAGCGCGATTAATGCGTGGATGGATTCCTGAAAATCTGCTTTCGGAATCGGAAGGGTTCTTGTCATGGCTGCTGGGTTAGAACATCAATAGCAAGTTTCTCTCGTGAGAATTTTGAGATTTGCAAACAGAAAGCAGTCGCGCGAAGCCAAATCAGGTAAACTAATCACTACTATTTGCTTTCTGACCGCGATACTTTGTTAGCAAATGCAACGCAAATTGAACGTAGATGTTCCGTCCAAATAATTGTGTAAAGTGTTGTGAATCGTAAATTTTGCTAAATTTCTCTACCAGCACTCGTACAGTCACATTTAAATTAACTATCAATGTTTGGTGAACCTTTTTTATGAAATCTTCCGTCAAAGTCATTTTCGGACGCCCCGACCATTCATCGTTTTCCAAATCTTCCCTGCCAGCTCTAAATCTTGCAGAAGCTTTCAAAAATTCATGTATGGAATAACCATTCGTCTTCATAAACATGTTTCAATATTTCATAGATTTGAGTTCGATATTTCAGCGATTTTACTGAGTTTAAAACAGAATTTTATATCGACTCGTAGTTGCGTTGCATTTTCGTAGCAAAGTGTATTAAAGTACTGTTACTTCGACTGCTATAATTTACATAGTACATGTTCGATGCTCATAACATACTGAAATATATGTAAAATACACAGAAAGCTTTAAAATATTACTAATTTAATAACTAACTAACTTTAATAAATAACCAAAATATTATTTGTCAGTAAATCTCGTTTATATAAAAAATTATTTCTGGTATTTTTCAGACACACTGTGTCGATTATAATCGACAATCAGATTTTAAAATAAAAAAAAAAATTCTGCAATTATTTTATAACATAACATACATGTGCAATATGCAAAGATGCTCCCGCACAGCGGAGGGAATTCTCGCTACGCTCGATAAATAGCATCTTGCAGCGAATACTTGCCTTATTGAAAGTATAAAAATTCTATTAACAAAAAGCATTTTTATTCTTTTGAAAGCAAGAATATTATATTAGCAATCAAGAATGTTTTAATATAAAAATACATCAATTTTGGACGACTCAGAGCGCGCACATCGTGCCTATATAAATATTCATTATAATTTATTAAAAATGTATGGGCGCGCGGTGTACTTTTTTTTATTAGATACAGCATATTGAGAATTTAGTTTGTCGGATTTAAATCGACAAAACATAATTGTTTTATTTCGCGTTAAAATTTTATGTTTGACAGTTCAATAAGCGTTTGACATAATGTTTGATGTAATGTTAAAAATTAACTATAAAGTTGAAATATTAATAATAGCTCATACATACCGTAATTATTAATTAACAAAAGTATCATTTTCGATTTTTTAACCAACAGTCATAGTGCATGAATATTACGTACCGAGTTATTCAAAACTGATATAAGCTTACGTTGCAACGTTTCTGAGTACGTTAAAGCTGTACGTAATACTCTATAAGCTATTATACTTTTGTTTCAATGAGAAGTAAAATACAAAGTTATTAATAGAATTACCGCTTCAACTGCTTCGTTTACATTCTAGCCGGCGTTAATGCGGCGAAAACGTTGATAGAAACTTATAATGTTGGCTGACTGCAAGACTTTATATGCTAAAAGTTTGCCGAGATATATATTGAGAAGCAAGTCTGGCTTCTTGCTAAAAACCGCAGGGTTTATATATACACGCGTGTGTGTAGACGCGTATATATATTGCGGTCGTTGTGCAAAGTTTTCGAATTCCCTTAAAGCAATTCTCGTTGAGCGTCGCGTTAGCGGCGCACTCGGTCATTCGTGCTTACCGACGAACCACGGATTCCTTCGATTGTTCTCGACGGTCAAGTTAAGGAAGTACTCTTCGAAACCCTTAACAGGGTTCGCCTGGGGCTGGACCGACAGAGTGCCCTCGACTTCCGGCTCGTTACCGTCGCTCACTAATCCTCTTGCGCTCCAGCCGTCGCTCCCGATCCAGGAAAAAGCGCCGGTCGCGTTGCAACGCCTGACCGCCCTCATGACCCCGGCAACTTCTTGGTCGGAACCGAAGATAATACAACCTGCAGCAGGATACGTGAGTCGATAGAGCTTCGCGTGGGAAATTTCGTCCGTAAAGTTGCACGCAGGCCCAAGCCTGGCGCTCTTTTCATCGTTTTACCGCTATTATCGCGGTAAGGAACTTTTCCGCCGTCTTGGTTTTATTTTATCGCCCGGCATCGCGAAAATTCGTTTTCCTGAAAGGCGAAAGGCTCGAGCTTTTATTGAAAAAGTGCCAATGAAACGTCTCGCATCACGCCGGCGATTCCTGCGGGAATCAAGATTATACAGGATCCGGCAAGAATCGACGGAGGCGTAAAAAAAGGAGCATAAGGTCGACCCGACCGAGCTGCGAGACGGTCGGTTACAGAAAAAAAAGGTTCACGAGGAAATTCTGCATAAAATAGATGTTTATCGCGAGACACTTTTCTCTCTCGTTGAAAGCACGGTAGGTGCGCCAAAATAATCAGATATATGTTCGCTAAAATTGCGACCACTTTTCTTGGGGGTGAAAAGTATCTACAATTCATGCTAATATGAAATGAAGAAATAAAATTAAAGAAATTCCTTGCGGATGTACGTTTAATAATACTCAATACATTACTTCATTTATTTACGGTCAAAAAACATGATAAAAATTTCACATTTTATCTTGCTCCAAAATAAAATTATTTCCATTATACAAATAGGTATCGTATGACCAATTTATATGATGTTTATGCAACGCTTCTATCTTTCTCTCTCTTTTGACCTAGTAGTATCTCGTAAAAATATTCTTGCAAAATTCTCTAGCTACATATGTTAATGCAACGATTAATAAAGACTGATAAAATGAACTTTTTTTTTGTTTTGAGGAATAAGTTAGCTTGAAAATGTGAATTATTTATGAAAAATGTTGATCAAAAGTCACCAGATATAAAAGATTCTAAAAGTCGCCAAGGGATCTCAAGGTCCCAGACCGCGTTGAATGGATTAAATGGATGAAATATTTATTCGCCCGAGGCAACGAGGAAAGCACACGCGTCGCTCGTCGGGCGAAGAGTCCGCTAAATTCCATTTCGGTGAAATAAGATTATCTTTTCAACGCGTACAGGTAGCGTTGCGCCATTAATTGTATTTTTTCTTTATGCATATATGCGACCGGAATGCAAACGCGGTAAGAGTTGTCTGGCAACACCATAACTTTTATATGTGCATCTTACAGCCGTTTTCGCTTCGCTCCATTTCTCATTTCGCGCTCGCGAAAATAGAAACGTATGCTTTTCCCGTTTCACCGCCGTTTCCACGCGCGTCATATTTAAATATCCCTTGCAAAGTGCACAGCCAAATTGAGAGATTTCGATATTTTATTAACGGTGCGTGTATGCAAATACGCTTCGCTTGCCGTTATGAATGATATACAAGCGTGGTATAAATCGTAATTATAAAACGTAATTTCCATGCTTATACATCGATTACGTACCGGTTATAAATGTGTGTTCCGTAGCCGCAGACAGTATCGTTTAATTTTATTTATTTTAATTCTCTCGTAAAGTAATATTTAAATCAGCTCATTACAAAATTAATATTCATCGTAATTTTATCGGAATTTTGCCCTTATAAGAGTTATTTTTCACGAAAATTCATGAATATTGATGTCAAACAAGGGATAGCGTTATTTTCATCGATTTAAATAAAAATGCAAATGTACTTTGGCTCTTCTTGAAGGAAAACTCGTTGAAAATGATACAGATATTGGAAGAGATCGTTTAATTTCCCGTATATGTCAGTTCGCAAAATGCTTTGTGCTCTTTCCCTTAATGGATGGGAAAGCGTTCGCGCGCGCAAGCATTCGGTTAAAGCTATAAGTCAAACCGCGCTTGATATCAGTCCGACTTGTAAAGAAAGCCCGGGGATTTAGCGTTCGCTCGTTTTACTCGGGAGATTCTGAGAGGAAGAAGTGGGGAAGTTAGGTGAGTTCTGGAGATTTTCAGCAAGTTTCGGATTGCATTTGACAAAGCACCGTCTGGAGTGAGTCGCGTATCCATTTCGTTAATGAACCCATTTCGTCACCCTCAAACGGATCGAATGGCTTACGCCCGGAGTCTCTGTTGCGTTCACCATCGATATCGCGCTATTTCATGATTGTGTCTTTCCCACATTCGGGCTTCATTTGTGTTTGGGCGTAATTTGCATCGATCAGGAAGGGCGAAGTCGTGTAAGTGGGTCGGTCGCCCACGCACCTCCACGCGACAATAATTTAAATCTAAATCCAATTTAATGGTATTTATTTATCTTCCATCGAAGAGCGGATTATCGCGAAAAATATATTATCGCTGATTAAGATTTTACCCCAATTGATTCTGCGCACCGAATTTAGCATTTAAGAGAGATGAGAGATAAATAAAGAGAGAGAAATAATTTAATAGCATAATATAAATCCCTTAAGCGTATATTAAGCGTCATGAATATCTCAGGATTTTCGCTTCAAATTTATTCCATTTTTTTTTTAAATAATCAACTGTCTGAATAGCTCTAGATTTTTTTTATCGACATTCGTGATGCGTGCACAAGCACTATGCATTTCACTCAATTTAATCAGAAACGTAAAGTTTTAATGACGTTTTGAAAAAAAATAAAAAAAAAGTATTTAAGAAAAAGATTTTGCATATGTTTTCTACACTTCTTTATTTGATCTATGGAGTCTTTTACTTTACCTCTTGCTCGTGGTTTTGTCAGCAGCTTCGAAACTATATTGTCGTAGGCAATCTCCTCGGCTACCCCGGAGTCCTTTACCAACTTCTCCTTGACGGCGATACATATGTTGTGTTTTCCTAGCAGTTCCTCGAGCTCCTCGAAAGCCTGCAACGCAGAGGAATAGAAGAAGATGTACTCTCTCGGTTTCTAACAATACGCCGTGTCTAATGCAAGCCCGCTCGCGGTCTTCATCGAGCAGCGCTCGTAATGCTTTGTCGGTCTTTTGGAAGAAAGATGAGCGTACTGAGGAATAAATGGAAAGGCGGGAGGGAAATGCACCTTAATGGAAAAATACAAACTTAAATAGAACGTCCACAGACGCCGGCGTCTTTTGATGAGTCGTGCGCGAAATCGCGATAGCGGAGATTGCCGCATCAACGTTTGCATTTTGCGGATTTAACACGTGCCATTCGAAATAGCGCAGCCGCTGCGTCTATAAAATAATACGACTGATAACAATTTCCGAATAATTAAGCTTTCGGGTACTTTGGACAAATGAAAAGATCAACGGCGGCTATAAAAGTCAAGCGCAGGTGTCGGTGCGCAAAGGATATTACAAATCAATACGGAGTAATGGTATAGAAACTTAAATAAGTAAAATTATAACATCGCAATGCTGGTCACGATCTTTATACATTGTGTATGCGTTATTTATAGACACATTCGCTTTCCGAAAATCACATACGTCTAAAACAAGAATGAATCGGAAGAATGGTGAAAGACCAATCGAATCTCCATCGAGATCGAGATTCTTTCACTTCATTGATCGTAAAATGAATCGCGCAATTGACTTCCGCGGTGAGACTCGCGATAGAGGAACAAAAAAAACCCTGTTACTTTGTCAGACAAATGGATATTCGTAATAAAAATCCCCGTTTGTTCCACGCTTTTGGCTTTCGACCGTTCGTTGAAAAATGTTCTCTTCATGCCACGAAATCATATATATATAGATATATACGAATGTTCGGGTATCGATCCACTCCTTCTAAATGCTCTCTTTTCTCTCCTTTCCTCCCCCTCCCTCTCTCTCTCTCTCTCTCTTTCTCTCTTACTTTACGTATGCGATCCGTGCGCCGTGTCGAAATCGTTGATTTCCAATCCTGTCGCGAATAGCATTATTGATCGGTCGCGTCATCATAAAAAACGCAGTTACGTACGGTCCTCCTTTTCATCTATTTTCTAACGTATCCCGCGAGATAATGAGTTTGTAATAATAAAAAGTGAAAATCCCCATCCTTTCATGTTCTTCATCTATCGCAAAAAGCGACAGAGCTCTGTCATCGTGGAATCTACGCAATCGCTCGATCGCGCAAAAAAAGCTCATTGGATTATTTTTTTTTCTCTTCGTCGCTAATAATCCCGCAATATCCATATTTTTCTCGCACCGGACAGCAATAACGCTCTACATTTCCAAAAATAAAAATTTAATTAAATATCTGCTATAATAAGCCTAATGAAAAATCCGCATCGATCTCGACGCTGGTACGAGCGCACAATCTACGGCAAATTTGGGTTTCGCGTATCTATTGTTCAAGGAGTCGCGATTAATTAGTAGTTAAACCATTTGGTTGGAGGGCGGCTTAAGGGGTTCCTGTGTACATATTATATATTCATACCGCGGTCCAGCTTTCATTATTGTAGGACGCTAGTGGGCGCACTATAATGCTGGCCCTTGTTTCGGTTCGAGTGAAAATTGAATTTCGCCGCATATATAAATGCCAATCTCGCCACAATAGTGTTCGAAGAATCTGTTCGTATCCCGCTGAACATTTATCGAATTGGTTTATGCACTGGCTCTCCGCCGTCGCCCACGGTGTTGCGAATTGCGAGCGTTCCGCGCTACGTTAGGAAGTGGCACGTACGGAAGTTGAAATTTCAAAAGACGCATACATATTTGTATTTTATTTCTTCAATGAGACACGTCTCATCATATTTGCGCAATGTGAATTGTATAGTAAAACTTTCCGGTTCTTTCAAACGGCAACAAATAGAATACAAGAGGTAGTACACAAGAAGTACGATTTTACATTTTGTATTTCGAGATTGATTTTAAAAATTCGAAAAAAACCCAAAAATATCCTGCGCTATAAAAGTCTCGAAGCAATAAAATGCGCCGTGAAAAGATAACCGAGATATTTCTAGGGAAAAGAAAAGTTTAGGAAGAGATTGCACGGATTTTTCGAAGGTCTTAAATATTTATCAGCTAAAGATCTCTTCGTATTTTAGGGCTTTCGGTATCTTTACAGTCACTGTGCTTCGCGCAATTTATGTACGTCGTTATGTATTATATTTACTTTCTTGCTTTCCAGAAAACATTGCGAATGGCCGTGATCCAAAGTTATATAGACGAATCTCGACCGGTGATATTCTTTTTACATGCTATTCGCGGAATATTTAAATTCCAAGTCAATGTTTCGTGCACACACATTCCTTCTGTAAATATCAAACATCGGGATATTATTTTTATTCCGATCCGCTGCAGATTTCGTATGTTTCGAGGATTTGCAGCTCGTATATAACGTTGTGCAACGTCGGAATAATTTATGGTTACTTTAATGCGCAAAAATACTGTAAAAGAGCTATCTTTGAGGCTTATTAGAGTATCCCGCATGCAAACGAGATTACATCCGGCACTCTCAGCTGACCTCCGATTAAACCCCTAATCTCGATAACGCGATAACGCCGGTAAAGTTATTACGGATTACGCGAGATCAATCATTTTATCCCACATTTAGCTGACAAATTCAATCAAACATTCTGTTTTTTTTCCTTTCTCTCTCTATCTCTCAAAATAAAAATTATAGATTTTATAAAAAAAGAATCTAGCGGAAGTGACTCGATGCGCACGATGGCACAATAATGATCGACCGGATAATGTTACAACGGAAAAAGTTTTTTTCTTTTCATCGTGTCGCCAGCCGTCGCTGGCGTTACGCAAGGCAATAGATCGAAATACCATACCGCCGTATGCACGCTAAATGCGGCCACGTGTAACTGCGTCGCTCGTACATACAGCGTGTTCGCAAGATATTAATTTAATGCGGGCATCGATCATCACGTTTTGCTCACAAATGCGACGATTGTGTGATTAATACCACAATCGTGCAAATTTGACGTTTAACATTGCGCGGAATGTGGCGACTGCATTCTCCTGATTATTAAATCTCCCGCGCACTTCTCCGCGGAACGGAAATTCTCTTTGTTTTCACATCTGACTGTAATAATGAAATTATGCTAGTCCTCTGCATGCGCGCGGCGCAAAATGCTTCTCACGGTCCGAACTTACTTTTCGATCGCGAAATTATTTTTGCACCTAATTTTGAAGGTCGCGGACGTTAAGATGAAATTCATAAAAAAAAAATAATAATAAGGGACAACACGCGCATATCTTATGTATTATGTATACGGTGTATATACGTGTCGGAAAATATATTTCGTCGTCAAATCGTCGCGGCGAAAACGTTTATGCATTTTTCATGACGCGAAGCGCAACCGATTGAGGACGCCGCACTCTCGTCTCTCATCGCGATGAATGTCGGTTGCTATTTTCTCATGCGTGAGGAAACGTCGCACTTCGATTTCGTATTTCTCAGTTACGCGCTTATCAAGCGCGTTAGTTATCAAGTTGGAAACGGAGAAGCGATTACGCGGAGAGCGCGTCCCGCCCCGCAAGTAGCGCTCCTTTATATTAACCCGACATTAATCGTTATCATGCAACTAAGCCGCGGAGCTGCCTGCCGGTAGAAAATATCTTCCTTTTTTTTCCCCGTCCGCTATAATTCTTCACCGCGAATGCACTTAAATCCGTACAACCTTCATTCTTTTTCTTCCCTCCCATGTTGCCTTTGCACCTCGTTTCTATCGCACAATTTGCACGATTGTGCGTCTTCTTCACACTCGGAATAACTTGCACGAGAAGAATTAACGCTACGTCGGGTGCTTACTGGGAGTGAAATCGTGACAAGCGCTTGCGGATTAAATCCGACTTTTTCGACTATTTTCCTCGCCGAGTTCCAAATTGCTTGCATAGCGTGACTTCCGCACAAACACATTGTCCTCGCATTAATATTATTTACTCCGCGCAAAAAAAGTAGAAATAGTTTAATGGAAAAGGTTGGTAGATAATAATTAATGGAAAACAAGATTGAATGTTTGTTATATTTACAATTCGCAATACTCTGATTGATGATTGCAAATTGTTTTATACGGTACGGATCGTGAAAGTGGTGAGAGTTAATATGAAAAAATGTCACTGGCGCGGTGGCTGGAAGCACAGATGTAATTTAATAAAGTAATATATCATTGATAATGGTTTCGTTGAAAATATCAATATTTCCAACAAAATGTAAAAAGAAATTATTAATAAAAACACAGAAAAATACGTATGTCTTTGTAACATGATAAGAAGCTGATTTATCTATAATAAGCATATAATTTCACACACGTTAATATGCAGAGTATTTAATTGGAGAAAAGTTTTAATTAACATCCCGTTATAATTTAACAATCTCTGAAATTCACGTTGCCCTTCGTTTGCTCAACGAATGATGATCAAACAACTTGGTGAAATAGGCTTGCCATAAAGTCAAAAGAGTCTTAATTGCGAATAATTAGTGTACTTGATCAAGAAATATGTCAAGCGTGGAATTTTCTAGTTAGCAATTCTAGTAAGATAAGAGGCAGAGAAGTGGAAAAGGATCGGGAGAGAGAAAGCATCTTGTGGTGCAAGATAATGGTGTCCTTAGGAGAGAATGAAAATTTGTCTAACGAGCCACGCGGTTTCTTCCGAGTTATTTGATTATCGTGGGTACTGAGCAAACGAGAGACGCTGTGATTTTCGTGTGACGAATATTCACAAATATTCACTGAATTGCAAAAGCAGAATGGTCGTGGCGAGAGAGAGAGAGAGATTTACGAGACCGTCGAGCCGAAATCATTTGCACGCCATTGTGAATTATTATAATGGACTGCTCCGCGGCGAACGAAGCCCTGCTTCACTTCCCATTTATTCCCGTTTTTCCGTGTTTATTTCCTGCGAATATTACAATTTATTGATCTTTACATCCGCTAGACTGTAGCCAAGTTGAAACAATTCGACGTCGTATAATCATAGCTCGTAACATAAGTTCAAGCTTATTTTGTTGTACGCAGCGTTGGCATTTTTATAAAAAGTTTAGAACTATATTACTTTTATCTTATTTAAAATTAAATGTAGAATAATTATTAGTAAGTATTGTATTAGTATATACAATATTATAATAATTACATTTCTACTTGAAATGTAAAATATATTACGCTTAGCGCTGGCTTTTAATGTTTTAATAACGCAATATGTTGCAAACATTATTAACATATGTTTAAAAAAGAATATCATCTCGTAGCCGACAAGATATAATTATATTAAAAGTTATTTGGCTGTAAATAGAAAAAGCATTTTTTCATACTTTTCTATATAATTAATTAAAATATAATAATGTGCTATTTTTTAGATTTTGTTATTTACATATGTTTACACGAAATCGCTAACAAAGTTATCATGATTTTACATTCATTTATTCAACGTTCGTACACTACATTTTAGATATTCAGTGTGGTTTGAAAGCTTTGCAGATGACATTGCAATAATAATAATTAGAGTAAAATAATATTATGCTTAAGTAAATATAAGTTTTAATCCAACAAACTATTTGCACATGAGTGCATACAATTTTCGAAGTCAACTGTGCTCACAATATTACATTCTGTTTTTTTGAGAAAAACATTTTGTTACTAAGCTTTTAATTAGTTTTAATGTGGTGAAAAACGAAGCAGAAATTATGCAATAAAATTTACATCTCTTCTTTTATCTATCAAATGTACGTATGTATATATATTTAATTAAAACAAGAGAGATGTATAATAAATATGTATGTAACATAGAAGTAATAGAAGTAGGCAATACATATAAATTGCTTTCCGCGTTCTCTGATCAAGCATTATCCATGAATTCGAAACAGGACACTCTACGATCAAGCACTTACCTTTATACCGTAGTTGCTCTCCTCGTAAATGATGGAAACGTAGCTCCAGTTCATCGACAATACAATGTCGACCATCACTTTGACCTGATAGTGATCGCTGGGTATAGTACGAGTGAAATATTCGAAGCGTTGTTTGTTGGAAAGCTCGGGACTCGTCGAGAAAAAGGAGACCTGTAACACACAATAGGCAGATTTCCATCTTTAAGTCGTTCGAATATGATAGGGCTGCTGTGTGAATTTTGTCGAGAACAAGTATGCTTAGCCCCAATCGCGCAGTCTCGTAATAATATACTTGAAATATTTATGGTACTTATTATCTGAAATCGGATTTTATAAATTCACGCTTTATATTATTCAGTGGCTAAAATTCTTTTTACGTTATTTTATTATGTATGCAAAACATAATAAAAGTACTTAAAATGTACTAGTGAGCCGTATCGTCTGTGTCAAAAATTCAATAAAGTTCAATAAAATACGTTTATCGATTTACCTTAAATGCATTAAGAATGCATTATAATTCGCTACTTAGCGTTGCTTCATGTAACTGAAAAAAATTTTTAATGCATTTAAAAATGTAAATCATTAAAAATGTATTTTATTGGGTCTTTGATATATGTAGACGGTGCGGTCTACACATATATTCTTAAAAGACGAAAATACATTTTTAATATTTTTCTAATAAATAATTAATAATATTGTAATAAATATATATATTTATATATAATAATAATAAGGAGAGAATATTAAAATTCTGCGAATATATATAAGAAACGCGAATGCTTTTTAAGATTTATATAAACTAATATAAATAGTTTACAAGGGACATTTTCCAACCCAATAATTTAGAATTTAATAATACTTTGTGAAAATCTACGCAGAATAAATTTTTTCCGTGTGACATTATACTTTCGATAACATAACTGCTATGTCACACTGGAATAAAAACCCATAAGCGGTGCAAAACTCAAAGAGAATTTTTGTTATTTATATGTCGAATGTATCTAAAATAGCAAAATATCGGAAAGTTTCTTTTCCTCAAGATTGGCCTCTGACGTCGAAGCCATCGAGAAACGATATCAGATCTTCATCACGTCGTGCACAACATTATAGAATACAGATGTTTGCGTCGATATTGGATAATCCTGTTCCTGATTGCGAGCGAGTGGTTGCGTCTAAAAGCGAAGTAAACTTGGATCCTCTTGAAAGTAGCCATCGTTTCTGCCGGCTGGCTCTGTCGCCGGAACGAGCCGAGAGAGCGAAAGCGTGTAATGTAATGGCTGGAGAGAGTCACACGTTAAACTCGCGCACGGTTTTTCCCGAGGGAGAACGTATTTTGAAGTCGGATACGGCAACCGGTGACATGAAGATAATCGACTGATTTATATCGCTCGATGCTCTTTAAGGTGATACGCGTCGCACCGTCGGAAACCCCGGCATTTTGCAACGCTGTGCAGCGACACAAAAATTTCGTTAAAAACATCTCAAGGATGCAATATACAAGGACTTTTTAGCATTCAAGCGTTGAAGAAGACATAGCGTCAAAGCGCGAGAGAAAGAGAGATATATATATATATATACGTAATCAAGGAGCAATCTTTGCGAAGCTCCAATCTCCGTAAGCTTTATTCAACGGTGTAACGGCTCAAAGACACTGCGAGGACACAGAATCCGAAGGTCTCGCGCTGTAGATAAAGAGATTCAAAAACCAAAGTGTTCGCGGAGTCGCGAATTCAGAGTTTAAAGGGAATCTGAGACCCACAGATATTTAAAGAACGGTGAAATCAAATAGATCCAGCTGTTTGACAATCTGATGTCAATATTTGGGCATAATTTGACGAGGATTATGGGCACTCGTGCGTTGAAAGATCCAAGGATTTAGATACGGGACTTAGAGACAGGAATATAAATTTAATATCAAGAGACAAAAGCGCTCGGGGAGTGACGATGACAGTTTCGCACATAAACAGCGTCGTTTGTCTAAATCATGCGTTCCATAATAAGTTTCACCATCAGTCTGTCGTTTATCTATCCAAGTTCTCCCCTCGCGTATTCCATACAACACATCCCCCGCGTTCGCCACACGTTTCTGTGACGCTTATCGGGGAAAGGCGATTTTGGGTTAGCCGCATGTAGCAAGCGGTGAATGATTAATCATCTTTTCGCCGTATTACGGTGTAAAGTGACTCCTTCGAGAGCGATCGCGCAGCCGATACGAATCACGTCACGCTTTGCGGAACTTTGACAAAGATACGCCATTTATCGCTCCCGCGATTATCAAACCAGCGTTCTCGCTCAAGCGCGGTTCAACCTCCAAATCGCTATTTTCGAACTTCGATTTGCCACGCTACACGCCTCTTTCCGCCGTTACAAATTTAAATAACTCGAAACTCGATTAATTCCGACTTCTATCGCGACCTATTTTTATCGTGGAATTTTTTTTTTTTTTTTTTTTTTTTTTTATAACACTCGAGGCCGACCTCGGTCGCCCTGGATCGTCGTCCGATTTGTCTTAGTCGGAGTAACGAGGTTTCAAAACGTTCGATCTGTGCGAACGACATCGACGCGTACGCGCCGAATGAGTTTATGTAGTGAGAAACGAGGCAGCGTTATCTCGCGCCACGAAGGCTACCAGCGCTACTTTTCTCCGCAACAATGGGCGCGTCCTATCAAACGTTGCGGCGCGGTGCTGCACGCCACACGGCAAATATATTTATCATGGTTTGTCAGATTCTCAGAGTGGCCACTATTCATCTAGTAGTAATTTGCTTGTCCGACCATGTACCGCACTGACGGAGAATTGCACAAAAAGCTACAACTCGATTCGCTTAATCGACATGATCGTTTGATTAAAGCGTCTGCAATTTTCTTTGTCCGCCATGTCGAGATAAAAATATCGTTGAACTAAATCTATAAAATACTTTTATGGAGCAAGAGAGACAGAGATAGAAAGAGAGATATAGAAAGAGAGAGAGAGAGAAAGAGGAATGTTCCAACAATGATTTTTCGCGCATGGTTCGAGCTTATGATATAAATATTTTTTCTCTCGGTTTTTTTACTTTTTTCCACACCAGCGATGTCAAAAATCCGGAAAACTTTAAATTGGTTACAGAGAGAGAGATGGCAGAGAAATAGCGAAAATCCATCTGTCGCTGCGATAAATAGAAAAGAAATGGCAAAAACTTTAATTAACGCATCATTCGCCGGCGTATATTATTTTCCGAACGTGAGTAAACTTCAAACAATTACATTTGTATAGTTTGCACAGACAATAAGATGAAATAAACGACAAAAATTACACGACCGAATCGGTATGCGCCAGTGTGCGCGTTGAAAAAAACAACTGGCTGCATTTGTTCAAAAATTTATATCGCTCGCACAGAGAGTTTGATCTTGCACGTTGCATTTTTTCCGCGCAATTTCACATCGGGAAATTTGTGTTTGGCGAAACAACACACCGTATCTTATCGTGCTCGTTTTACTTTCTACTCGCTGAGTTAATTGAAGATTATGTGATACCGGATGCAGAACTCTCCGTCGGGATGTTTGCATTTTTTATTGCGACCGCGACTGAGGATTGTGCCGATGTAGCCGGTCCTTTTGTGGAATCTAGAGAACGATGTTAACGTTAATTGAAATGAACCGGCTGCGCCCAAACCGCGCGGAATTGCAAGCACAATTCGCTACGCCGATAAAATGGAATAAGGGGACACGCTTGCCCGAATTACCCGGTAAATTCGCCGAGGCTTTATACGACAGTAACAAGAATTTGATATGCTTCGCGTATCAGCGTTGATAATTCAACAGTTATTTCTTTTTCTAATTGCGATACTTTTTACACCGAATCACCTATCAAGGTGAATTTTCCGTTTTATTTCTGCGCCAATATAAATTTTCGCATTGCGAAAATGTGTCAGATATATAAGAATTAATTATGTACGGCTTTACGTGCAATATTATGTGAAAAATTGGAACTCCAATGGCCACTTTGCGGATGTTTATCGCGAGTCATATGAAATATTCAGTGATGGATCGGATAACGATAAAAATGCTAATGCAGCGACTGAGGTTATGAAGATCGGGTTAATTAAAAAAATTTCACGAGCAATTATAAGTGTACTTTTAATCGGATAATGTAAATCGCACCCGGTCCGAAGACTTCATAGATTGAATCTAATTACTTTCTTCAGGGATTATCCCCGAGTCTCTCATCTCGCGATGTTGAGACGGCAAGCGTAATGAGCGTTTCTCTCATTTTTTTTTTTTTATTTCCTTATATTTCTACGCGAAGTAATTTCTACTCGGAACTTTTTGTATTGCGTTCCACTCCGTTCCTGTCTCTTGGCACCGGTCGGTGCGCCAATGATCGAGAAGTGACGGAAAAGAAGCGTTATCGATCATTCAAGTCCCAGCTGGGATCGACGGACGACGTCGACAGCATATTTCAACGTGAGGAATTTTGTAAAGCCGGTGCAGCTACCCTTGACGAGATGTGATTTCATTATTTAGTTCACTTGACTTGAGCACGCGTCGACTCGAATCTCGATCGAGCTTTGGCAATCGTAGACTAGCGCGATGGAGAAGCACTTACAGAAATTGCCGCGGAACATTTTCTTTTACGACTAATTTGATTCGCGAAAATCGTGACCGAAATTTGATGGCTTGATTAAAGCTACGGTTAAAGCTACTTTACCTCAATTGGCCAGTAATAATTTATGTCAGATGTGGTTATTATCAATAAAGCACAATTAATCGAAGTAATCATTGCACGCATGTATGCTGCCTTTCAAATATTTGATCGTTTCACAAGTCCTGTCGTTTTTTCATTATCGATTTTCGATTATCGAATGAAGCATTGTTCCCTACCTGTCAAAACTATGTTGTTTTTTAGTTGTTATTTTGTTTATTAGTATTAATCTAACTGATGTAAATTTCAAGAAGATTGACAGAATGGTCAAAGAATGGCAACTGAAAGCCCAAATCAAGAACATTTGCGACATTGTATGCTTTATGAATTTCGTAAAAAAATTAAGTGGCAACTAAAAACATTAATTTGGACTATTTTAATTCTAAATCACAGAGTTTTTATAAGTTAGGGATAGAAAAGTTAGTTTCTAAATGGGAAGGGGTGATAGAAAACGAGGGAGAATACATTGATGATTGAACTTATAATA